CTAGGCTGGTCTTTGTGTGGAATTCTCGGACTGCGTACTTTTCTCTGCCTCCCACTGCCTGTTCTGGCTGTGGTCCCGCCGTCGGTTGTTTTTGTGGAAACCCAAGTTTCTCGACGGCTGCTCGTGAAGCTGTACAGGTGCCTGAACTTTGCTCTTCTAGTTTATCCCCTGGGGAAAAGTTTGGTTTCGGAGACCATTCTAGTATCTTCAGGGCAGCTACTTTTGCCACTTTCGCGATCGCTGGATTCGAACCCCGAGTGTTCCTGCAGCCCATGCTCCTAAAGTTTCCCAACGTTAAGAAAACAGTAAATTTAAAGTTTTCTCTCCTAATCTACCAGAGGACCCAAAACAGAAAACGGGACAGTACGTCACTTTTGCGAGGCACTTCCATTTACTAATACAGTGACACCTCGGCTTACAAATGCCCTTATTTACGATTTTTCCGGGTTATGAGCCCAATTTCTTCGTAAAATCTAAATCAGGTTACAAGCTTTGCCTCGAGTAACGTAGTTTGTTGATACACATATGGGCAACCGAGCCCATGGTTCCTGGTGGCACGATCGCCCGGACTTCAGTTTACCAGTTTCTCCCACTTAGTGATGATCGCGCTTGAATTCTTAGTAAAGAATTTCATGTTTTTCGGCTTTTGGGGGTTTTGAACATAAAAGTGATTATTATTTATCACGCCATGGGTCCCAAGAAAGTCAGCAGCATGGTTCATCCTAAGAAAACACATGTGAGGATGACCATAGAGCAAAAACAAGAGATCATTTGTAAAACATGAAAATGATGCACTGCAGGTTGTTGAACTAGCTAGGCAGTACAACAAATCTTCAAGGGGAGGAGGAGGAGGAGGCAGTAGAGGATGTTTCTTCCACATTAATTAAGAAAGTGTGTGCAGTATGGGAAGAACTGCAAAGTTTTGCTGAAAAGACTCATCCAGATAAAGCTTTAGGAGGCCATTGCATTGACCTTAATAATGACAATGTGATGTCTCACTACAGCCAAGTGTTAAAATGTCGGGAAAGACAAATGTCTTTAGACAGATTATTAGTAAGACAAGCAAGCAGTGAGCCATAAGCAGGTTCTAGTGGTATGCCTGCAAAACGTAGGAGAGAGTACCCCAGAGAAGTCATCAGTGCCTGATGTTATAATGAAAGGGAACTCTCCTTCCAAACACTAAAAACTCTTCTCCCCCCCCCCCTCCCTTTCCCCTCCTCACCGTCTTCCATGCACAAACAAGAGTCATAAATAAAGGTAAGTTATAACTTGTACATACTATAGTACTAAATAAAGGTAAGTTATAACTTGTACATACTATAGTACTAAATATTTGTGTTTATTAGGTATAAAATGTATTTTGATGTTAATATTTTTGGGAGTGTAGAACGAATAATTCAATTTACTTTATTTCTTAGGGAAAAATTCTTTCGGGTTGGGAATTTTCGGGTTACAAACTGTCTCTGGGAACTGACCAAATTCATAAACGGAGGAGCCATTGTACGACAGTTTATGGCCTCAAGTAATGCATATGAGCAAAATGCAATGTTCTTTGCAGGAGGATAGGTTGGTCCCTGACCCAGTTGAGTTCAGTGCCATGGCGCCTTCCTCCTCTCTCGCTCGATGTGTTTATGGGTGCCTCGTCTGTTGGCTGGGGCTTTGTGACCAGTGCTTACCAGTCCGGCCAGGGGCGTTGGCTGCTGTCCATGCGTCGGGTTCATAGCACGGTGCGGAGGTTTGCAGCTGTGTGGCTGGCGCTGCAGAGGATTCGGCTTCCTCGGAGCTCGGTGATTCGACTTCATTCTGACTGCTTCCCTGTGGTTCCTTGTCTCAACCTGGTCCAGCTGTTGCTCCAAGTTCTGGCTCGGTTGGAATCCTATTGGGGGAGAGTTTTTTCCCTGGCTCAATGGTGGCCAGCCCAGCCTTGGTTTCAGGCACTGCATATTCGGTGTCCGAACCTGGGCGTTTTTCTGCGGTTCCACCTCTTTCAGGTGGTCAGGCTGGTGTGGTGCCTCGCTGGTTCGACTCCCTCCTCTGTGTTGCGTGTTTGGTATTTTTGATGCATGTATATCGCCATTTGTATGGTGATTAGATGGCTTCTTTCAAGGTGTCCCACCTGCGGTTTTCGTCTCGGCGACAGTATAGAGTCTCTTGGTTCTCTCTCCACCATTTTCTTTCTCTTCATCGGATTTTGTCAGTGCTGGAATGGATTGTTTCGTCCATTCTCTTAGTTTTTCCTGTATTGGCATCTCATTCTGTATACTATCACTTTGTATCGATTTGCGATGGCGGAGCTGCTGCAGCTTGCATTTGATGTGGTTGACACCCTGTTCTGCAGGTTTCCTCGTGCTAATTTCACCTCCAGCCTACTCATGAGCCGCCTGAGCCTTCTTGGTCTTTGGATTGGGTTCTTTTCTTTCTTCTTTGCCTCAGTTTGTGGTGTTCCCTTCGGTTCATGTTTGTTTTTGGTAGGCATTGTTTTGTGGGCCTCTGGTGGTCGTTTTGTTCGTTGGCGGCCTGCTCCATCTTTTCCGAAGATTGTGATGGTGGGCTTCAGGAGGATTTATTTATTTATTTATTATTATTTATTTATATATATACAAGAAGGTACAATGGGATTGTGAGGATACATAGCATAGTAATTACATTCTTGTAAAGCCACTAGTATGCGCAGCTTTTCGGGCAGGTTCTTAATCTAAAAAATTTTTAAGTAGGTAAATACTTGCAAAATTTATAAAAATGATAACAGTTACATAGCAAGAAAAAAAATGAGAGAAAATTGTAGGTATATTAAAGCACATAGGTAGCTCAGATTGATTGCAATGACAGCTTGAATGGTAGTTTAACAAAAATTAGCAGGCACAATACAGCATATGGCTAGCACATAATGAAGACAGCAATGAACACAATGATAAAGTTGTTTGGGTTAAGTACATAAAGATTGGGAGATTGGGTAACACTAGATACAGAGCAAATTTAAAGCTCAGTGTAGGAAACTATGAAGATGAAATTAGGTACTTTTTGGTTTTGTTTTTAAATGAGGCAAAAGTTTGACAGCTTTTCAATTCACTAGGGAGTGAGTTCCATAGACTAGGTCCCTTAATTTGCATAGAGTGTTTACACAGATTAAGTTTGACTCTAGGGATATCAAAGAGATATTTATTTCTGGTGTGGTGATAATGGGTCCTATTACATCTGTCCAGGGAGAGTTTCAGAGCATGGTTTACATTTAAGAACAGGGTTTTGTAAATGTAGTTGACACGAGTGTGTGGAGGGAGTTAATATTTAGCAAGTTTAGGGATTTAAACAAGGGAGCTGAGTGTTGTCTGAAAGCAGAGTTAGTTATTATTCTTTTGGTTGATTTGTTGGTTGTGGATGCTTGGCCGGGGGTGTATCACGTGCTGTGTCCAGAGGCTGCTTTACGCTCCTTCCTGTGGATCACTGGTTCTGTGTTGGTGGCTGCGTTCTGGGTTGATCACATTTTCCTGGTTCTCGGTTCCAGGGCTCGTGAGTCTTGGGTTGTCTGTGGTGTCTTTAAGGCTAGCCGGACTGCAATCTACCCTCGTACCCATGATGTTCAGATGTATGCCGCTCATTTGCCTATCTGTAGACAGTTTTCGGGCTCAGGGGTTTTGGGGTCGGTCATGGTCCTGGTCTCCAGGTCTCTCGTGACTGTCCCGAGCCCTCTGCTGCTTTGTGTTGCTTTGGGGCTTCTGTAGCGGACGGCTGTCCTTATCAGGTTGTGTTTTGCAGGGCTGCCACATACCGGGGTCTTCCGTTTTCCTTCTCTGTGGGTAGTTAGCTTCAAGGATCCGACGGGGCTCCCCACAGAAAACCAGCATTGAATGTAATTAGATGCCTGTTTCTGGGTGAGCCCCAAAGACTCCCTCACACCCTCCCTCCGGTCGGTGGTTTACATCATTCAGAGAACTGGATGTTGGGAGCCTGACTTACCCAAGCCGGCTCCTCCTCCCTCCTGCATGGGGGTGCAGCTAATGAGAGGGGGTTAGTTGGACGAAGTTTTGCTTGTTTGCATTCTGGGGAGTTCTTTTGCACTTGTGAGGATGTAGCTTGCAATTTTCAACCAGACGGCACATATTGCCAAATACTTTCAAGAGACTAATTAGAAGCGGCTATAGTTGTAAATAACGTCATGTGTTATCGATTTATTTATTTGATAAGTGTATCTGAATACTCTGAGTGTATTTTATTTGATAAGTATCTGAATGTATTTTATTTGATAAGTGTATCTGAATAATCTTTAGATTATGCAAATCTGTTTTGATTCGCCTATCTTTGTCTCCTTTCCCGGTCGATGGCAAGATGACATACTTTTAATGTAAAGTGTTCATGGCCATTGCTCCCCTTCTCCTTGAGGGGGGCCAGGTTCTGGGTCGTGGTACCAGGTAGGCTTAAATGGGCTCTTCGACTGATGACACTCAAGTAGTATTGTACTTGAGTTTTAAGATAGCTTCAGGGAGCCTCCGGTGCTCACCCAGAAACTGGCGTTTCATTACATTCAACGCTGGTTTTCTAGTGTTTTGACTACCATGCTTCTTAATACTACGGATCTATAATTTAGAGGTTCCTCTCGACTACCATTTTTATAAATTAGTATTATGTTTGCCTTTTTCCATATATCTACTAAGATTCCTATGCCCAAGGGCGTCTGGAATATTAATTGGAGTGGAATGCTCGGCTCAGTTGCATATGCTCGCAGCAACCAAGGTGAAACTCCATCAGGTCCAACCTCCTTATTTCTTCCAATGTGAAATAGAACTTGCTCCCAATGTACAGAGATAGTCACAGAAGCCTGGTATACCACTAATGCCCCTAGAGTGTCATTGCCACAAGTTAGGGCAGTTACTGTAGTGCCAATCGGAGAGGGGCATTTCATTTCACTCAAAACACTGGTTTTACCTGCATTATATTAGTAAAAGAGCATAGCACACAGATGAATAGATTTAAAGTGTTACTATAGTGTTCATAATTTTTTGCAGACGCAGGATGTTCTTGATGAGAATGCAACTCAGCCATACGAGATAATTCATCTTCCTGACAACTCTCAGAATGAACCAGCAGAGCAGATCTATGCTACCATATCAGTAAGCCTTCTTAAGAAACAGTACATATTTAATATATTATTTAAACTTTACACAATATTTAAACTTTACACAACTCATGAAGGTATAGTAGTATGTATCAGAGTAACACTCAAAATATTTAATTTTCTGGGTGGAGCCTCATACAGCTCTCTGAACCTATTATACTGATTCAGTATCAAATCAAATCAAATCAAATCAAATGTTTATTTAGGTAAGGTACATACAAGAGATTTTACAAAGAGTGATGGATTTATAGATAGGGCTAGTACATACAATGCCTAAAGCCACTATTACGCAAAGCGTTTCGGGCATGAAAAATTTAAATGACTAAATCTTAATACTAATTGAGCATAAAGAGCAAAATGAAAACATGGAATGAAAACATAGCTGAAAAAGCAGTAATTACGTAAGTGTAATTACAGGACGAGAGCTATGCTCGTGGTGTCCCATCTTCCCAGCACTCTTTGTTATATAACGATTTGAAACTACTGACGGTCTTGGCCTCCACCACCTTCTCACCTAACTTGTTCCAACCGTCTACCACTCTGTTTGCAAAAGTGAATTTTCTTATATTTCTTTGGCGGCTTTGATTAGGTAGCTTAAATCTGTGAGGTTTTCTTTTTTCAAATCCCAGTGGTATTGTTGGTTTCGTATTCGACTCGCAATTGAGAATTCTGGGTTTGAATTCAAGGCGGGATAGAAATGGTTGGGCTCATTTCCTATCACTTACTGCTAGGTGACTGTCCTCTCTAATTGTGCTGAACGACTTTTCCTTTTCCTTCTGTTCTTTTTTTCTTCCCCCTCTTCTCCTATCTGCTTGTCGTTTCCTGCCGACCTTTTGCTTGTTTTGGTTATTCCTTTGGACTTCTTCTATTTTGACGTCCGGGTGCTTGAGGAGGCATTCTCTTGCACCCATAGAACTGTAGTACCCGACGTCTTGAGCGAGGGGAACCATTTATTGTCAGTCCCCATTTCGTCGCTGAACCCGATCTCGACGGACTGATGGTTCTTAAGGTGGCGTTTGTGAGGCATATACTCACGACGCACCCCTGGGGGGCCCCGGCATGATCGGTGAAAGCTTCCTGTTGGGTGTCCTGCCTCTAATTGTGGCTCCATGGTGGGTATGGGGCACATTCGTGGATGAATTTATCACTTTTCGTCTGTATGTCGTTGAATGTTTGTTGTACCCTCTCAGGCTCGTGGGGTGGGCGACCAAGCCCCCAAGTCGGCCTGTATTGGAAGATCGGGCTCTGTAGCTTCCGCTGCGTTGGGCCCAGACCTTGCTCCTCCTTTGACCCTCCTGACTTCTTCCCCCAGCTCCCCTCCCTCCTCTGTGGTTGGGTCGAGCCTCAAGCCCCCAGTGGTGACCACTTCGTCCCCTGGTGCGGCTAAGTCTCTCGTTGTGACTACCCGCCTTTTAACCTCTCTCTCTCTGGGGGTTCTCAACGCTGTAACGCCACGGCCGCTCTTGCTCGATTCCTTACCGTACTGATGCATATCAGGCCTTGTTTGATCCCGCTTCATGGGCCAAATACTTTGATCTCCTCCTTCTTGATTCTGCGCCTCCTGACGATTTCTCCCTCCATCGGCATCTTGTTGATTCCGTGGATGCCTCTGTTACCTTCAACCCCACTCGTCTCGGTACACGTGTCATTGCTGTTCCTTCTCAGGATGCAGCTTCCCACTTGGCTGCCTTATCCTGCCTTGGCGAGATCCCTGTTCGGGTCTCAAAGACCGCTTGGTTGAATGCCAGTGTTGGCACTGTTCTTCTCCTGCCCCATGTTGCGACCGGTGTTCGGAATCTGCAGGACTGCCACGATGATATTCGGCATATCTTTGATGCCCAAGGCCATTCTGTCTTCCAGGTAGACTCGTTTACTCGTCCCCCCCGTGGTCATCGCCGTCAACCCCTTCGGGTTGTGAAGATTCCCTTTGATGGTAGGACCCTTCCATCCTCTGTCATTCTTGCTGGTGCCAGGTGCTCTGTCCAGGAGTACATTCCTTCTCCTAGACTTTGTAACAAGTGCTGGAGGTTTAAGCATGGTGCCCTCTTCCGCTCTGGGATTGTCTCTCTCTGTCCTTTGTGTGGGGGCGAAGGTCACTCTAAGTCGGAGTGCACTTCTCCCCAGGCTCGCTGCCTCAATTGCAGAGAGGCCCATCCTACCTTCTCCCGTGAGTGTATCCATTACAAGCTTGAGGCAGCCGTCCTCAACTTGAAGCACCGGGAGCGTTTATCTTTTCCTAAAGCGAGGCACCAGGTTCGCCGGCTTCCGCCTTATGCTAACGTCTCTTATGCTCGTGTGTTGCGCTCTTCCTCTCCTCGTCCTTCCCACCTTCCTCAGACCCACAACCGTTTCCGGGCCTTGGACCCTGATACGCCCACTGCCCCCTCCTCTGCTCTTTTGAGTTCTGTCCCTAGGGGTCTTCCCTCCTGGTCCTCTGTCCGGGGTTCCCCTTCTTTCTGCCCGGTCTGTCATGTCTCCTGTGTCTTCTTCCTCGTCTCCCTCCGATCCTCCTTCCCATCCTTCTCCATCTACTGACTCTCCCAGCCGCCTGTCAGTGCGGACTGATGTCCATCGCTCTCCTAACGGCCGTCATGTGTGCTCTCGTTCAGCTTCTGTTGAGACGCTGGAATCCATTGCCTGGTATGTAGTTGCTGGGACACCTGTCTCTTTAAGTCAGAAGCGTAAGCCTGGCTCCTCTCCTTCCTCCTCCCCGGCGGGTAAAAAGGCTTCGCATTCTTCCTTGGCCCCTACTTCTGACTCTATCGCCCCTTCCCCTCCCATTTCGGTGGTTGCGCCCCCTGTTCCTGCTATGGAGGTTTCTTTGGCTCCTGCTTCCCTCTCAGTTGCTGCCCTTGCTGAGGTGTGCTCCCCTCTTTCTACTCCCCCTCTTCCTGCTGCTGTCCTTGACTACTCTCGGTTGCCTCCTCCTCCTCTGGACCCCGCCTGTCCACCTCTGGTCTGTTCTCCCACTTCCTTCCCTCCGTCTTTGCTCAATTTACCCATGCCCCCTAACCCTGACTTTGCTGACCCTGATCCCGACCCTGATCTTCTTTAACGTGGTATGTTGCTCTTTCGCCTTTGTTTCTTCCTTGTTCTCTGTTGTCCTTTCTCTTCTCATCGACGTCTATTCTTCAATGGAACGTTCGGGGTTATTATGCCAATTTCCATGAACTCCAACTTCTCATTTCGCGATTTTCGCCCCTTTGTGTCTGTCTCCAGGAGCCGATGATTGGTGCTCGTCCTGGTCGCTTTCGTCGCTATTCCTTTCCGCCCCCCCCCCCAGCTGTTGCTGGTGCTCCTAATTCTTCTGCTCTCTTGATTCGCTCTGATGATCCCTTTGTGCCCTTATTTTTCCTTCGCCTCTCCATTGTTCTGCTGCTCGTATCTTTGTGGGGAAATGGTACACTGTTTGTTCCATTTATCTCCCCCCGAGTGTCCCGCTTTCTCTTCCTGATCTGAAACACCTACTGGACTCCTTGCCGGAGCCTGTGCTCCTGCTGGGTGATTTTAATTGTCATTCCCTTTGGGGTGATGTTCTGACGAACACCCAGGGTCGCCTTCTTGAGCCGTTTATCCTCTCTTCTTCCCTGTCTCTTCTGAATTCTGGTGAGCCCACGCATTTGGACTCTCGGACTCGCACCCTTTTCTGTCTTGATCTTTCTCTTTGCTCGTCTTCTCTTTACTTAGATTTCACGTGGCAGGTTCTTGATGACCTCCATGGCAGTGACCATTTCCTCATCCTTGTTACCTTTTTCTCTTTTCGCCCTTCCCTCTCCTTCCCTAGGTGGAAGTTTACGAAAGCGGACCAGAACCTCTTTACCCTCAGTGCTGCTCTCTCTGACCTCTCCCTTCTGCCTCTCCCTCTCCTCCTTTTTCATGACACTGTCTTCGATACTGCCCTCCGCTCTATTCCTCCATCTTCCTCGCGGGGTCCACGGAAGTGCGTTCCCTGGTGGAATGCAGACTGTGCTCGGGCTGTCCGCTGTAAGCGTGCAGCCTAGAAGAGACACCGCCGTTGGCAGACGGCCGATTCTTTTCTTTTGGAAGGCAAGTGCGGTGGCCCGTAGGGCCATCCGTACAGCTAAATGTGAATGTTGGGCATCTTATGTCTCCACCATTACGTCCAAAACTCCTCTGCCATAGATCTGGAAGCGTATCCGCAAGATAGCGGGTAAGTTCGTTCCCAGTGTTTCACCGATCCTTCACTTTCGTGGTACGCTTGTGGCGGACCCGTTGCAGGTCGCTACCGAACTGGTTCCCACTTTTCTTCTGTTAGCTCTGGTCTTCATCTTCCCCAATCTTCCCTTCTTCGTAAACCTGTCCTTGAGTCTCGTCCTTTAGATTTCTACACTCGTCTTCGACTTTCCTATAAGGATCCCTTCTCTCCCCCTTAACTTCATTCTGCCCTGGCCCTCTGCGGTTCTACAGCAGCGGGCTCCGATGGTATTCATTATGAGATGCTTCGCCATCTCCCTCCGTGCACGTCTCAGTATTTACCGAGTCTGTATAATCGAATCTGGGAGTCGTCGTCAGTCCCTGACGACCAATTAGATGCCGTTGTCCTCCCTGTTCGCAAACCATGGTCTCTGGAAACATCCCCTAAGGACTTTCGCCCTATTGCCCTCACAAGTTGTGTCTGCAAACTCTTTGAATGTATGGTTAACGTTCGTCTGGTATGGTTCCTGGAACACCATCACCTCCTCTCCCCTTCTCAATTTGGTTTCCGCAAGTGCCGCAGCACAACAGATGTCCTGGTGAACTTGGAGGTCTATATTCGTACTGCTTTTTGCTGCGAAGACCTCCATTGTTGCCGTCCTTTTTGACCTGGAAAAGGCTTACATCACTTGGCGATATTATATTCTATCCCAGCTTCATTCTTTTGGCCTTCGTGGTCATCTCCCTCTCTTTCTCCACAGCTTCCTCTCTCGTCGTTCCTATCGGGTGGGGCTTGGTACCGCTCTCTATGCCTTTTCAGCAATACGAAGGTGTACCCCA